ATTTTAAAAGCAAAGGGATATTTTTAAAGAGACATCTTTTAAAGTATTTGAACTTGTAAGGCTGTAGGACATAAGTTTGTAAAATGTTTTATATTTTGATGTCTTTATTATAATGTGATCTTGGGGATGAACAACTCCTGGATTCTTGGACTTTCCATTGGTAGACAGCATCACTGGACTAGCAGGACCACAGCCTTTAAGCCACTCTAATAAATCATATATATATAGAAAGAACCCTGACTAATTCTACATAAACTGGTTGCCATAGTGACAAAATAAACATGGTGTTGATAGTAACAGCAAATACCGGGTGATGTGCCCCACGGTAATTTTTTTTTTTTTAGATACTTGAAATACGTAGATTAGATCAGTCACCTAAATCAGCAATTTCTCACATTTGGGGGTCCCTGGGTTGCTTTGAAGGTTTCTTGTAAACCACAGACCCCTACTTCCCTTTACAAAATATATGTGAACTCTTCCAATTTTGGTAATAGGATTCCAGGTGTTTATAGACTCCCGAAACATCCACGGACCTCAAGGTACAAAATGTCCATCCATGCACAGAGCAGTCTCCCAAGACTCAGGGAACACGGCTGCTAATGGAAAGCAGAGCACGGGGACGCTGGGATGAAATCCTATTAGATGCTCTGTGGCCACCACAGATGGATAAGCCAGGCTGCAGAGGATGTCACTTGACACGAAGCAGGACCTAGGACCTTGGGACCAAGGCAGTTTGTCAGCTCTGACACAAGGCATCAGTGATGAGCAGGAAGGAGCAGGGATGAAGGGTGCAATGAGGTGAGGGATAGGTAAAGGTTATCTGATGTAGATTTGAAAATAAACTGTTAGAACTGGAAGGTTAATAGGTTTTTAAATAATGCATTCACCTATTAAACTGTCTCTTTGACAAATTGGTCCTGTTCTAAAGTGTCCAGGTCAAGCGTCCAGTGATCAAATGATTGGGCCTTAGAGGGGTGGCTGGTGGTACACAGAACAGGAGTCCAAGGACACGCTCACATGTACATGCGCAAGCACACACACACACACACACACACACACACACGCTTTCCTATAAACAGTCTCTCCCATGATTCACCTGATATCTGGAAGGCTATAATTAGCACTTCATTCCGTGACTTTAGGTGTTTATTAAAATAGAATGCAAATGTTTCCAGCAAGGAAGACATTTTGCCATATCAACTAATTGTGCTATTGAAAGGATTTTTGCTTGCTCCTTCTCCAATGTCTTGATTTGGATTCACAGGTCAGAGGTAATAAAAACAACTAAAGGCTGAAGGAAAGGTATGAGAGGGGGAGACAGGAGGGTGGGACCAAAACCAGATTGAGTGTACTGTGACTTCTAGAAAGATTGGTCTTGATTTCTATGGCAGGTCAATAGATTGAGTAGTTTCTTCAAGGATAAATCGCAGAGGGCTGTAGAGATAGCAAAGAGGTGGCGAGCACTTGCTGCTCTTCTAGAGGACATGGATTCAACCCCCAGCGGCTCTCACTGTAACTCCCTCCAGTCCTACACCCTAGGAAATCCATCACCCACTTCTAGCCTCCAGGGGGCGCTGCACACATGCAGTGCACAGATACACATGCAAGCAAAACACCCACACACATAATTTTTTGTTTGTTTGTTTTTGTTTTTGTTTTTCCAGACAGGGTTTCTCTGTGGCTTTGGAGCCTGTCCTGGAACTATCTCTGTAGACCAGGCTGGTCTCAAACTCACAGAGATCTGCCTGCCTCTGCCTCCCGAGTGCTGGGATTAAAGGCGTGCGCCACCACCGCCCAGCATAAAATATTTTTTTTAAAACAAATTAAAGAGCAAGAAAAAAGTCAGGTAAGGCCAGAAAAGAAACTATCAAACAGTGTGTGTGTGTGTGTGTGTGTGTGTGTGTGTGTGAAACCACACCTAGACTGTAATGTCATCTGAGAATCACACAGACCACTGTGATAGGAGACTAGGGTTGCAGGCAGCTCAAGAATAGGGGTGCTCCCAGGTCACACTCGGGTCACAGGAATAGTTCTTAAATAGGGGTGCTCCCAGGTCACACTCGGGTCACAGGAATAGTTCTTAAGAAGGAAGGAGGCTGAGGAGGAGGAAGCTAGGCAGAGTCAACGTGCAGGAATCGCAAAGCTTGCCAGGCCCTGAGGAGCACGGGTGGCTTGATTGGCGGGGACGAGAGGAGCCACACTGCCGGCTGCAACAGATGAGACTCGCTGATTTTCAAGCCATTGGACTGTGGGTTTTCATGGGAATTAACATTCTGAATCTAAAGTGGATCCTCTGGAGGGCAGCATAGTACCACACGCCTATTATCCCAGCACTGGGGAGGTAGAGCTCAGAGGGTCAGGAGTTCAGGGTCGTCTACCTGATCTGGAGGTCAGCCTGGTTTGAATGAGACCCTGTCTCCAAAACTATATACATACACGTACATACATGTATACGCCTTGGTATGGCGGTAAACTCAGAGATCTGCCTACCTCTGCCTCCCTGAAGGCATGCACCACCATACCTGCCCAGCTTTGTTGTTGTTGCTTTTTTTCAACATGGTCTCACTGTGTAACCCTAGGTGGCCTGGAACTCACTATGTAGGTCATACTGGCCTTAAACTCACAGAGATCTGCCAGCCTCTGCTTCCCAAGTGCTGGGATTAAAGGATTAAACTATCATGTCTTTTTTTTAATCTCCATCTGGCAGAGGCTGAGATAGTGGTAGAGGGTAAATGGCAGATGCTGGGCAATCCTCTGCAGATACTTGCATTACCCCTCTTCACGTCTCAGAATGTAACATTTCAGAATGAAGTTAGTGATCTCACTACCCCATTCACCCAGGTCCCCTGGAAATCCAATCAGGATATTATCCTGACTCCAACCTCACCACTCACACACCCCACACTACAAATCTATCCTGCTCCCTCTGACACCTGCCTGACTTCCCCCAGCTCTGCTCAGTTCACGAAATCCATTCTCATCCTGGTGACTACAAGATCCTCCTGTGAGGTCTCTCTGCCCCTAGCATGGCTGGATTCTCTTCAAAGCAATCAGCCATTTCTCCCAGAGACAGATCCCACGCCATCTGTCTGCTTTAACCCCCCTTGTGGCTCCTTTGGTCTTAGGATCCGGCTCCTTCCTTCTTCCCCTTTCCCTCCCTCCTTCCATTCTTCCTTTGCTTTCTCCTTCCTTTCTTCTCTTTCTCCCCGCTCCCACTTCTGCCCTTCCTTCTCCCCCAGCTATGCTAGTTAGGTTCAATTCCAAAAATATTAAACAAAACAAGCAAACAAAACTCTCCTTCCCAGCTCACGGTCTGCTCACATTTGTCCTCTCTGACTTTAACTGCTTTTCTCAGTCTTGCCGATTCCAACTCCACTCCTAAGATCTCTAGCACAGCTTTACAAAACATTAAGGATGACCTCAGAGCTCTTACTCCTTAAAACACAAACAAACAAACAAAACCCCTGATGTGTACACAGGAGTGCTTGATTGGCATCTACTGTGACTATAAACTCCTGGAAGGGAGGGAGGGACCACTGTTTTGCTCGGTGGGTCCTCAACTCCTACTCCCAAGGCTTATGTCTTTTTTTTTTCCGTTTATTTATTTATTAAAGATTTCTGTCTCTTCCCCGCCACCGCCTCCCATTTCCCTCCCCCAATCAAGTCCTCCTCCCTCATCAGCCCAAAGAGCTATCAGGGTTCCCTGCCCTGTGGGAAGTCCAAGGACCACCCACCTCCATCCAGGTCTATAAGGTAAGCATCCAAACTGCCTAGGCTCCCACAAAGCCAGTACGTGCAGTAGGATCAAAAACCCATTGCCATTGTTCTTGAGTTCTCAGTAGTCCTCATTGTTCGCTATGTTCAGTAAGTCCGGTTTTATCCCAGGCTTTTTCAGACCCAGGCCAGCTGGCCTTGGTGAGTTCCCGATAGAACATCCCCATTGTCTCAATGTGTGGGTACACCCCTTGCGGTCCTGAGTTCCATGCTGGTGCTCTCTCTCCTTCTGCTCCTGATTTGGACCTTGAGATTTCTGTCCGGTGCTCCAATGTGGGTCTCTGCTGTCTCTGTCTCCTTTCATCGCCTGATGAAGGTTAATATTCAGGAGGATGCCTATATGTTTTTCTTTGGGTTCTCCTTATTTAGCTTCTCTAGGATCACTAATCATAGGCTCAATGTCCTTTGTTTATGGCTAGAAACCAAATATGAGTGAGTACATCCCATGTTCCTCTTTTTGGGTCTGGCTTACCTCACTCAGGATAGTGTTTTCTACTTCCATCCATTTGTATGCAAAATTCAAGAAGTCCTTGTTTTTTACTGCTGAGTAGTACTCTAATATGTATACATTCCCCAAGGCTTATGTCTTAACTATGTGTCAGGACTCTATCCAAGCATCTCTCTGAGAAGCCCGCTGGCTCCTAGCTGTGCCAGCCTGTGACCCAGCATAACCCTCTTCCGTTACAATCACCATGGTACCCTGAGACAGTCTATCCCCCCCACTATTGTGCGACTGCTTGGAAGGTAAGAACCCCATTTTTGTTGGTTTCTTTGCTCTACCCCAGGGCCTGACTTGGGGGAGATTAGAGTGGTGGATGAATGAACCAGCTCTCAGTTCTCTGAGCCCAGGTTTTATCCCCATAAACATCAGGGCAGAACCCAACAGTTCTGTATTTTCTCCACACTCTGACCCAGGTACCACAGAGCCCTACCCAATGGGCACCACTCTGCCTTTCTATTGTTGCCCTGGCACCAGCACCACCCTCTGCATATAGTTCCCCTACTTTACTATGCAAAGAGAACCTCACACCCTGGGCTTTCTATAGATTATGCAAAAATAAAACTCTTTTCCTCTTTGGCTTTATTTTAGTTGTATCCCATTTCTTTTTTTTTTTTTTTTTTTTTTTTACATCTCAAACAGATTTATTTTTAAAGGAATGGCCTAAGGAAGGGAAAAAAAGGGGGGGTACAGAAGTATGGCATAGAAAATAAATACAAATGTAAGCTGTTTTACTAATTATTTTGTAACCACAAACTCGTACAGAGGATGATGCTCCGCACAAAACACAACAGATTCAAACGAGGTGTTCCCTTAGCAAAGCTAAAGAGTCAGTCTCTGGTATTTGGAATTTAGGATGCAGTCCTTGTTTTTGGATGGATCACTGGGTATTTGGCACAGTCCATGCTTTTAACCAGATTTGAACAGAAGAATGGCCACCTGACCCAGGTAGAAGTAGATGAAGTGTTTGGTTTCATGTGTCACATAACTACCGAAGTTCCGCCCCACAATGCAGTGCCAGGTGGGGTTGTACTTCTTGTCAAATTCCTTCTTGATATGGGCCACAATATCCTTTTCTATGTTGTACTTCTCCAACGCCTGAGTAGCGCACTCCACCGAGTCCTGTTGCATCTCTTCCGACATGTCTGCATTTTTGATCACCGCCTTCCGGTCGCACATGGTTGCCGTGGAGCAGGGGCCAGCCGGCTGCTGCGAGCTCCCGAGGAAGGTGCTGGCGCAGCTCAGGCAGCAAAGAAGAGCCGGTCGCTACCGAAGCCGTGGCGCATCTCTGTATCCCATTTCTTGAAGAGACATTTTTGCTTTTTCTTCATTAAGAAGAAATTAAAAACCTATATTAAATTTTGAGGCCACCTGAGGTGGACTCGTCTAGGAAACTAGGCAAGGAGTTAGTCCCTAGCCCTCATGGGTACCAGACAAGGAGCTAAGATTGGGGGGTTGGAGATGAACGGGGCATGATTCAGAAACTTGGACTCACAGAAGTAGACACTTGAAGAAGTCAGTAAGACTTTATGAGAGAATGTGACAGGAATTGCCATCAAGATACACACACGTAGGGTGGGTCAGAGCCTCTAGTCCCACCAGGGTGTGGGGGAAGGCTTCCTGATGCGCCAATGCTTGCCCTGCCTTGAAAAGCAAGTCACAATGGCCCGTGCAAGGCATGCTGGGTTCATGTTGCTGGTGGGAACCGCAGGCAGTTCCACATGTCTGGAGCAAAAGAGGGGAGTGGACAGTGGTGGGCAATGTGGCCCAAATAATGTCACAAAGGCCTTGTGTGGTAGGCTGAGGGATGTTTTAGGTAGCCACTGTAAAATCTGAGACTGGGGAATGTCCTGAAAGAGTCAAGCCCATGAAGTGGCCTGGTGGTGAACAGGCAGGGTTAAGAACAAAAGAGGAGATGAGTGACCTACAGAGTCCAAACCAAGATGGCAGCAACGGGAAAGGAGTGGAGGAAATTAGGGAGTGAGCCTCAGGAGAGAACAGAGGAAAGTTCCAGGCTGTTCTCAGGCTCTGGGTTTCTCTGGGGCTGGCAATGCTATTCCCCCCGGGGGATTGCAGAGGGGTCCACCTTGGCATAGCTCTGGGGATAGAAGAGACATAGAAGCCGGGCGGTGGTGGCTCACACCTTTAATCCCAGCAGGCGAATCTCTGTGAGTTCTGGTCTACAAGAGCTAGTTCCAGGACAGGAACCAAAAAGCTACGGAGAAACCCTGTCTCGAAAATAAAAAAGAGAGAGAGAGAGAGAGAGAGAGAGACATAGAAAGGTCAGAAACGAGTTTATAAAGTGTCAGGAGTGGGTAGCAGGGGGGCCGGGAATAGGCCTCTGACTCCACACCCAGGGTGGCTGAGGAGACAGCCTGATGCATCTTCGGAGAATACTGCTTAGCTGAGGCGGCATTTATCTCCTCCGAGGTCAAGGGTTTGGAGTCTCAGGTGTACATGTTAGCACTAACATTGTCAAACCCACACCCTAGGTACCACCTGAGGGGCTTTGCCAACTAGACCTCTCTATTAAATTTGATTCGACTAAGCCTATTTATGTGGTTTATGCATCTACATGTTTATGTGTATGCATACATGTGTGCATAGGTGTGTGTGTGTGAGTGTGTGTGTGTGTGTGTGTGTGTGTGGGTGTGTGTGAAGGCCAGAGGTCAATGTGGGACATCATCCTCAAATGCTATCAACCTTATTTTTATTTGTTTGTTTATCTATTTATCTGTTTTTTCCCACCTTATTTTTTGAGACACGGTCTCTCGCTGAACCTGATTCAGCAAATAGCTGAAACAGGCCCCAGGAACCCTCCCATCTCCACCTTCCTGGCTCTGTGATCACAGGCATGCTGCGCCTGTGCCCAGCTTTACCCGTGTGTCCTGGTGATCTGAACCCACATCCTCATGTTTGCCCAGTGAGCCCTTTCCCAGCAGAGCTGTTTCCCCAGCCCTGATTCAACTTTACATTTTGGGGTGGGCATTTTATTTTATTTTTTAATGAAAGGTTTAAGGAATCAAATACTCCTATCTGAAACATCAGTTGCTCAGCCGTCCTTTCTGGTTCTCCTGAGGCGATTACTCTAACCTCAGATGATTCTCTTGGTGTTTACCACCAAGCTCTAAATCACATGCCTATAGTGAGACTTGCTGATCTTTTCCATGTTACATAGACGGCAGTTTAACTCCGTGTGCTCCCATGCTCACCTCTGTCACACACACACTCTTACTTCCTAGTCCCAATGAATTTATAGCAACTCATCTCAATGAATTTACAGCAACTCAAATTATTTAAAAAAAAACTTTTATTTTATCTTAATTATTTATTTTTGTCTGCGTGTTTTGCCTGAACGTACGTGTGTGGGCCTCTTGTGTGTCGGTTGCCTGTGGAGGGTGGAGGCCAGAAGAGAGCATCAGCTCTCCTGGAGTTGGAGGGTTGTGGAGTTGCTGCCCAGTCTGAGCTGTGCAGCGCAGTGAAAGAGCAGGGTGTGTTCTTATCAACCACCAACCACCTCTCCAGCCCCAGATCCACCTTTTGAGAGTTCTTATAAATCTACTGGTCTGTTTTGTTTTGTTTTTCACCCAATCTCTCTGATGTGTTCGCTCTCTTTGTCTTCTGGCTTCCGAAATCCCGTGCTGAGTCTCATGGCTCAAGCCAAGGACATGTCCAATACAGTATCTCTCACTAACTGTTCTAGAGTAGACAAAGATAGACACAGTTTCTCAGTTAGAATTTGCAAGAAGCGTGGGGAGGTAAGGAAAACAGAAGATTGGAGAGCAGGCGGTGTTATACATCTAAGTTACTCCTAAATGACTCAGGAACAGCCTGGCCGGAGTCTAAGATAAACCTTCCCGTGCCCCTAGGGCACTCCTCGCCTCCCACACCCGCAGCCCTTGTTTAAATGGTGGGAGGCTAACATTTTTCACTTCAGTTTTCGTGCTTTTGGTGTCAAGCTGCTCTTAACTATTGGGGGCAGACTTCGCTCTTATCATCCTGGGCGGTGGGGGAAGGAAAGCAGGAGTTCACAGTGGCAGAGGTTCCTTATTCCCTGGGGATTGGGCTCCACCCCCAAACCAGAGTCCTTGGTCGGAAAGAAATCCCTAAAACGTGTAGGCCCATTTCCTTCAAGGTGTGCCTGCAGATTCCTGTAAAGAATACACAAGCAGAAAGAATGTGTAAGGTCAGGCATGGTGGTGTAGGCTCTAATCTTAGCCCTCGGGAGGCAGAAGCAGGCAGATCTGAGTTCGAGGCCAGCCTGGTCTACAGAGCGAGTTCCAGGACAGCCAGGGCTAAACCCTGTCTAGGAAAGGAAAGGAAAGGAAAGGAAAGGAAAGGGGAAAGGGGAAAGGGGAAAGGGAAAGGGAAAGGGAAAGGAAAGGAAAGAAGACATATAGGATGCTAGTCAAAACATGTCTTTATGGTGGAAGAATAAAGAGCATCTCTATTTAACATCTACCTAATTTTTATAGCGCTGTCTGCCCCCTGGTGGAAGTCAACCAGAAATACACACTACTCTACTGACTGCCTGATTAGCATTTTTTTTTAACCACTAAAAACAATTTATGTACATTATCAGAACTGTTAGCAACACAGGATTCCAAAAGTTGGGAGTGGTGTGGTTTTTGTTTTTGTTTTGAGACAGGGTCTCTCTGTGTAAACTCTGGTTGTCCTGGAACTCACTACATAGACCAGGCTGATCTCAAACTCTTAGAGATCTGCCTGCCTTTGCCACCCAAGTGCTGGGATTAAAGGTGTGCGCCACTATACCTGACTGAATCGGGAATTACTATGCTCATTCAACAGGTGTATAATTAAGTCCCTCCACCAAGGTCCCAAAGTACCGTACTTTTCATCTAATTTTGCATCAATGCAGAGCTCACAACAAGGCCAACCCACTCCACAACACAAACAAGCTCAAATCTTGCTTGATTCTCAGGTCTCCGTTAGACCCTGGGATTGAGTCTAGACTGCAGCTCTGCTCTTGAGTGCAGGGGAGGAGTCTCATGGAACAGGATCCTGCCTTACAGCTGTTTATTCCGATGCTGACTGACGCGGAATATGAACAAGTCTCTTTCTCCTCTCCTCTCCTCTCCTCTCCTCTCCTCTCCTCTCCTCTTCTCTCCTCTACCCTCCCCTCCCCTCCCCTCCCCTCTCCTCTCCTCTCCTCTCCTCTCCTCTTCTGTACCCTCCCCTCTCCTCTCCTCTCCTCTCCCCTCTTCTTCCTCCTCTCTCTCTCTCTCTCTCTCTCTCTCTCTCTCTCTCTCTCTCTCTCTCACACACACACACACACACACACACACACGGTCCTGTTGGGAGCAGTGAGACCCCAGATCCTGAATTTCTTGTAATCCCCTGATTTGAGTGCCTACAGCTGCTCTGAGCATGAGACCTTCAGGAGTTCCTGATGGCAGGAGAGTGGTTTCTGGTGGATTTGGCTGGGGCGTGGCTATCTCTATAATCTGCCCCTGAACACAATAAAGGGGGCATTCTTGGGGAATTAAAGGATGACCCCTGTCGCTGTCTCTCTGTCTGTGTGTGTTTGTGTATTTTAACATCCAGCCCCTTGTCCGAAGCTCGTGAACTGGGTAATAGCGCACCGAGCACAGACACGGGGGGCACCGTGCGCGGTACGGTCCCAGTTTCCTTTATCTGTCAAATGGAGAATATACTGTAAGGGTCGGCAATGTGGTTCAGTTGATACAGTACTAGCTTAGTGCACACAGGGCCTGGGGTTTGATCCCCAGCATTGATAACCCAGATGTGATGGCCACACTTTCGATCCCAGCACTTGGGAGGTGAAAGGCAAAAGGCATAAAGAGTTTGAGGACCGTGTGGGCTGCATAAGACCCTGTCTCAAAAACAAATGTAGTCCAAGAATTTGAGAAGGGGCCACAATCACCTAAGAAAGGGTTCAGAAGGCTTTTAAGAAGGCAAACGTTCTGTACTCCCTGGAGAAGGAGGAGACCGTTGGAGGAACTGTAAGGGCTTGGGATTGTAAACGAGTGCAGAAACTCTTCAGTGGGGTATGAGTTCTCTCTACAAATATCCTACAATATAATGAAAGCCTCCATAATTTTTACCAAAAAAAAATGTGTGCTTCCAGGAGCATTCTGTCCCCCAAAACAGAACTAGCAAACCTGGTTTGCTCTGCCGGGAACCAGCAGGAAGTCTTCCCTGGGGGCACTCAAATTTAGCTACGTGTTAGGTTAGTCCTAAAGCAGATCCCAGATATCCCTAAATGGCTGATTTGCGGGTCAGCCTGGACAT